AGGTGCCCCTAGAACTATAAAACTCTTAGAAGAAAATAAAGATATAAATCATCATGATCATGGATTAAGTAATGGTTCCTTAGATAGAACACCTGAAGCACAAGGAAAAAATAAATTGGACTGGAAGAGGTGGTTTCCAGGGGGCTGGAAGTAGGGGAAGAGAAGGCAGAGAATGGGGAATGACTAACTGGCACAAAGATCCCTCCACTCCCAAATATTCCTTTTGAAAGAAGCTTGTTGGGAGTCCTTTTTTCTGTTATGAGTAAGTGCTTTTCCCAGTCACCCCAAATTAGTTTATAAAGGCTCTGACTAAATTGTTTTATATTTCTAGGAATAAGAGTCACTGTTACATCCTTTCATTATCTAGGTGGTAGCTTAGTAAAATTTTTATAAAACTTTAAGTGATTTATAATGTTCCATGTGTACCTGTTTATGTTTTCATGCCACCAAATTTTTAGCTTTGGTACCAAGAGCAATAGTCACATATATAATACTGCACTATGACAGTTTTGTTTTAAAACCAGAATCAGGTTGAATGTGACTTTTATTTAAACTAAGATTTATGCCTGTGCATTCATAAAACACTGATACACTAGTACCATATTTCCTTTACTTTGTTTGATTAAACACTTACTGAAAGGTAAATACATAGATCAAATGATGAGACTTCATGTTTCAGTAAAAGTTAAAAAAAAAAAACAACTTGTCTTTTTACTTAACACTTCATGAAACAGAATTTTTTTAAGAGAGTGGGTAGGATGAGGGGCAGAGGGAGAGAGAGCCCAGCACCAGCCCTATGCGGGGCTTGATCTCACAACCATGAGATCATGACCTGAGCCAAAATCAAGAATTGGACGCTTGATTGACTGAGCCACCCAGGTGCCCCATGAAATAGAATTTTTTTTTTTTTAAAGATTTTTTTAATTTATTTGACAGAGAGAGACACAGCGAGAGAGGGAAGACAAGCAGCGGGAGAGGGAGAAGCAGGCCCCCCGCGGAGCAGGGAGCCCGATGCGGGGCTCGATCCCAGGACCCTGGGATCATGACCTGAGCCGAAGGCAGACGCCTAACGACTGAGCCACCCAGGCGCCCCTGAAATAGAATTTTTTAATCAGAACAACTAGATAGGATCCTTTCCTGGAGTCGAACTTAAAAGAACTGGAATTGGCAGATTTCTTTGGTTTCTGTTATCTACTTACGATAGCATTCCCAACCAGGAATAGTGCAATAATATGAAACACTTTGAAATCCATAATCTTAAAAAAAGGAGGGGAGGGGATTATACAAAAAGACCACACATCACAAGGTAAGAGGTTAAAATGACTGAGTATGTAATATTTTTTAAAACCTTCATTTTAGGTCAGCACAAACTTCCTTTATTTTTTCCCCCTATTTTCAGTAGCATTTCGAGGTTTAACATAGCAAGCCAGTATAAAGTTTTACAATTCAGTCCAGCAGACCCCCTGACCCAGTTTCACTTTCCCCGGGTTCAGTTATCCTCCATTAGATCCAAAAGCAGACGATCCTCCTCCGGATGTATCCTTGGGAGATCAGTTAACAGTCTAATGCCGTGTCACAATGTCTATAAGTTGTCTCATTGCACTGGCATTTTATCATCTTACATTATCACAAAAAGGGTGAGTACAGTACAATAAGATTTTGAGACAGATCATGTTCACATACCTTTTATCACAGTATATTGTTGTAATTGTTCTATTTGATTATCAGTTAATTGTTGTTCATCTCTTACTGCCTAATTTATGAATTAAACTTTATCACGGGTATGTCTGTATAGGAAAAAAACAGAATATACAGGTTTCGGTACTACCCATGGTTTCAGGCATCCACAGGGGGTTTTGGAATGTGTCCCCCTGGATAAGTGGTACCACTGTAATCCTGGATTGAGTCATTTTAAGATGAAAATGGAAACAAGTATAAGAAAATTAATTTTCTTCTGTAACATCTCAATCATCTGCTTGTTGACCCTTTCTTAGTCGACAGGTGATGTCCTGTTGCAGATATACACTTAGCTGACAGTGATCTCTGGAAACTCTGAATTTGTTCTTGTCAGTGAGCCCTCTTGCTTAACTACAGATCCCAACAGTTAAAACCAGAAATAGACAGGATGCCTAACTCAAGCTCTAACTGAAACCTATTGCTCTTATCTCTAATCATGCTTTCTTGAGGCACTGATGAAGAGGTTTTGCAATGACCAGAACATTGGAACCGCCAGGCCAGAAAAGCCCCAACAGCAACAGAATGCCTAGAAAGACCACATCCCATACATCCCCTCCCTGCCCACGATCATGGGATGCACACATACCAACCCCCCAACCTGTGATCACACACTCTGTCTGTTCTTTGGCACGTACCCCTCTGAACCTCTCCCTATAAAACTCTAGGTATCCAACTTGTGGGCTGAGAGGTCAGTTAAGGCTTGAGTCTGCCACCGCCTCTGGCTGCTGGCACCTGAAATAAATTTCTCTTTCTCTTTTCCAAACCCTGGTCTCTTGAGTTACTGGCTTCTCTTGCGATGAGTTTATCCGAGTTTGTTCGGCAACAGGTTTGTTGGCAAACCTAGCCAGGAGCTGTGCTTTTGATCTGTCCAGCTCCCTCGGTATTCCTGGAGATGGAGCACTTGGCCTCACAGTGCACAAAAGCTTTCCTTTTGGTTTCCGGAGTTACTGGCTGAGCTAGATCATTGGGTAACATTCTTACATTATCTAAATGAGGTTGATAATCTGGTGGATACCTAAAGCTTCTGAAAAACCTGTAAATCCTCCTCATCAACCTTTGGTGCATTTTGGTAGGCAGCAGTGTATACCTCTAATGCTTTGCTTTACTGCTTTTCAATAGTGATAAAATTGAAATACAGTATTGGTATCCTTTACTCTTTGCTTTTCAGAACTGCCAACAGCTTTCTCCAGATGAAAGCTGTTTGGATAGTATCCACTGCAGCTGCCTGTAATTGGGTTCCGCCCGTGAAATAACATGCCCATCAGATGGGTTTGCAGTCTTGCCCTTTCTAATTCAGTTTAGCTTCTCCATTCTTTGCTGTTATGTTGCTATGAAGTCATTCCGTTTCATTTTTACCTTGGTTGCAAGAGCTTTCAAAGGTTCACCTCCTTTGGCTCCAAGTCTGAACCCCCGCTTGTTGATAATCCTGAAGTTTGGCAAATTCCTGAGTTTTTCAGACCCTGCTTCAAATCTAGTCTCTGTAGAGGCCCAGTTGTGGGATCTCATCTGGAAGTTGGCTTGGCCTGGAAGTCGGGCAGTTCTCCCCATAGGAATGGCCAAGATTTGGCACAGCTCTCCCAAAGGCTTGTGGTTGGAACATCCCACAGTTTCTTGGATAACTGGCCCTCCCCCTCTCCCGAGACACCTCCCCATGCCAGGGGGCTGTGGGTCAGCCTCTACCTGGGCCTCTGCTCAGCAGGTGTGCTGGGAGCCCAGGGCTGAAATTCAGGGTGGGAAGAGGCTCCATCTCCCCCACCCAAGACCTCAGGTTGGGAGGCCCTGGCAGCTGGGCCTCAACATCTGGCCTGGAGTCCAACAAAACTCCTCTGAGTTGCCTGGGCCACACTGGGGCCACAGGGTTTCTTTTTGGGGTGATGAAAATGTTCTGGAATAAGATCGTGGTGATAGTCACACAACCCTGTGAATATATTACAAAACCCACTGAACTGTACCCTTTAAAATGGTGGATTTTACGGTATGTGAATTATATCTCAAAAACAAAAAAGATTTACTACAGGAGAACTATAATACTTAAAATCCTAAAAATCCAACGGGGTAATTACGATTATGGAGACTACCGGATTGTAATACGGAAAATGCTAATGCTGAATGGTTTGTAAAGCCGAATACAAAATGGCCTCTACAAGGAGCTTGCCATGCCCACCTTGAGTTGGTTTTTCTATTTTTACAAATGAGGAAACTGAGGCTTCCAGGACTAAGTATCTTACCCAGCAGGACACAAAGAGTGGAGAAAAAGGAATCTCACCCCGGCTGGTCAGGTCCCGGGGGTTGGTTACCCACCGAACACCACCTCAAGTGTAATTTCCATTGTTATTTAAAACCAGACTTTGGAATTTCGGAATTTCGTCTGTTTCCTCCAGGAAGTTATGACAGTTTTCTTTCCGCCTTGCTGTTTCAGTCACAAGAAAGGGACTGTGGACTACCCCACGCCCATGGTGGGCGGGGGGAAGGGGGTGGTATCACCGTTTCTGAGGTCAGCGGGGGCGGGGCGCGATGAGGCGTCCGGGACCCCGAAGGCACGAGTACGAAAAGGTGGCTTTCTCGCCAACACACGACTCGGTGTGGAGGTAAACTCGGAACGCCTGGGTTCAAACCGGGGCTCTGCTACTGACTAGTTCAGTAGTTATCCTGGACAAGCGAAACCTCACTAGGCCTCTTCCTGCGTCTGACAAAGGTACTCCTACCTACCTCACAGGGCTGGTGGGGGGGAAACTGAGTTAAGGCTTGTAAAGCAGTTAGCACAGCGCGGAGCACTCAGTACGCGCTCAAGGTGCGTTAGCTGTTCTCACAACCTGAACTCTCAGGGAAACGGCCACCAAGGGTCCGCGCTCCAGCCAGAGGCAGGTGTTGGGTGCTACCTTCAGCACCAGGGCTTAATAAAACGCTCTTTCGGGTCCGACACAGAGCGGCGACACTCGGGGTCCCCCCACGTTCCACCGTTTACGGCTGCAGAACCGACCCGACAGGACGAGCCGGGCTGCCCATGCCCACGGAGCCGGCGCAGCCGGAGCTCGCCGGCCCAGCCCCCCATCCACGCCACGCTCAGGCCGGCGTTCCACGTGCTCCGCTGCTCCCCGCCCCTTTCTCGGGCCTTCCCCCACGGCCCATCCCACCCCGAGCTCTGAGGGAGAGCAGCCGCAGGAGAACTGTAGTATTTAAAAGTGAGAACATCCTAAAAATCCAACAGGGTAGTTACGATTACCGGACCGACGCCAACGGCCACCGCCGCGGCAGACACTTACTTAGTAGACGGTCCTTTCCGGCTCGCCTTCAGGGCCGGGACCCGCAGGAGTACGGTCTAAGCGGGGAAGGACCCGGAAAGACCACGGTGTAGCGTCGGCCAGTTAGTTGCGTCCGTTTTTTGTGTTGTCGCAGCGGATAGGACCAGGCGGCCGCCCGTTCCGTCTCATTGGACGTGGCTTCTGACTGTCTACGCCAATAGGATGGATCTTAGGGGGAGGGCGGAGATTGGAGCTCGGCTCCGCCCAGGCCAGGCGAGGGGGCCGCGTGTCGGCATGCGGGTCTGGGGCGGGGCCGAGCACGTTGGGGGCGGGGCCGGTCGCGTTGCGGGGCGGGGCCGGGCGGGGTAGGAGGCTGAGTTCTGATCCCGGAAGCTCGTAGGAGTCGGCTTCTTCTGAAGAAGTTGGGTGTCAGACCCAGCAACGGGTACTTTCTCTGTCCGCAGCCAACTGATCCAGCCCAGAGTCGTCCTCTCGCCGCCCTGGGCTACTATCTTTAAACCTGAGACTTGGGGGGAGGAAAGATTTTACTGTGGGAAGGACAAAGGGGTCTCTGAGATGAGGGAGAGAAAACAGGTGGTGACGTGTTGGGCAGTGACCACAGGTGGCTGAGTCGGCTGACCCTAGGTCTGTATGGCTCCAAGGTACAGAGGAGCGTGGCCTAAAGGGCCGTCATGGAGGGTCACTTCTCGGTCTAGTTGTGTTTTCCTGCTTTGTTGTGTGACTTAGGTCGAGTCTCTTCTCTTTTTTGTGCCTTCATTTCTTCTGTTGTTGAACAATGAAGTTGATCTGATGTTCTCTTCAGCGCAAAGTCTGTTCGTACGACTAATAATTCCAGAATGTTCTGTGTGCTTTGACTGTCCCAGATATCAGCCGGCAGCTATCAGAACTTCTAGAAGCCTGTGATGGGCACTTGGCCAGAAGTGACAGTTTTGTGAGAAGATCTGGGTTCAAATAGGCCAGGCTTGGAGGGGAAAAAAAATTAAATAGGCCAAGCTTGGTTGTTGCCACTAGCAGACCTGGCACACCATGTGCCTTTTTAATCCGGGTCCCTGTGAGTGGCTGGACCAATTAGAAAATAGGTCGTGTGGTTTATCAGTTGTATCTCAGTGTGAAAACATTTCAATCAATAATGAAGAAGGTAGAATTTCAGCTCTCAAGGAGTTTACAAATAAATGCAGGGTGTGGAGCGGGGAGAGGTGGTGAGCAGAATGAGAAGTGAGTATAGTCAGAATAAAGCACAGCTTTGTGAAGCTTGAATGGCCCAGAAGAGAAGGCAGACAGAAATTCTAAGCTGAACAAACAACCTCACTGGAAGTCTGTTCAAGGAATAGTGAGGCATTCATTTTGGCTGTATGGGAGGGGAGTCTTGGAAGCAAAACTGGCAGGGTAGGTTGGGTCAAATATCAGGGAAAGGAGCAGGCAGAGGGGACCTCAGAAGGTTTGGAAGTTGGGGAGTGCAGGACTAGAGCTGAGCTTTGGAGAGATCACCCAGGTGGCACAGTGGGAGAGACTGGAGACGACAGATTGTGGAGGCTGGGAGCCTCCTTAGGAGCTTAGTGCAACCACAGTTCCTGTGAAAGGTAGTGAGGGCTGAAGCAGAGTGGTGGTTGCTGGGATGGAAGGGAGGGCAGATGGGGGACACACTTAAGAGGAGGGAGGATCTGCAAGGTTTGCTGAACCCTGTGGGAGGAGTCAAAGGGGATTGCAAGCTGAAGAGCTAGGGTCACTGGAGGAAGTCAGGAAGGAGTTGGCTTGGGGCATGCTGAGTGAATGGCCGCCAGCCAGGCAGAGGGCTCAGATGCAGGTTTTGCCTTCGTGATGTGCAGTAGGCACGCCAGAGAAAAAAGATTTAAGAATATTTGCAAATCAAGGCACAAAGGGAGCTTGGTCTCAGATGAGAGTCATTTGGTGTCTGTGAACCCCAGTTTTTTCATAGATAGAAGGAGGATGATGCTATGTACTGAAGAGAATTATTGTGAGGAGTAGATGTGGTGACTATAGAGCGCCTCACTGCTTGGTCTACATGCCTATGGATTGAGACCCTCCATTATGAGGAAGGCTGGATATCTGGATGGTACATATTACCATCAAAAGTAAAAATAGGGTGACCTTTGGGTGGCTCAGTCCATTAAGCAGCTGCCTTTGGCTCAGGTCATGATCCCAGGGTCCTGGGATTGAGTCCCGCATCAGGCTCCTTGACCAATTTAACAATTAGTAATACAGGTT